TTTATGTCGCGGTGAAGAAATCCTCTTGAGTGCATATACTCAACTCTATTAATCTGAAAATGACACAGAGAAAGATTATTACATCAGGCTCATACGCAATAGTTTTAGAAGAAAAGAAAAAACTAATCTATGAAAGAAGTGGCATGACAATGAACTACTTACTAGTTGATCCGCAAGCATTAAAACTGTTTTCAAAGAGAACTTCCTATTGCAATAGTTGAAGAGGTCTTCCAAACTCGGTCCAAGAAGGTCGATAACCATTACATTGTACTCGCCCTCAACTCCAAACCATTTGAGGTTGGGAATCCCGGCTTCACAATTAATGGCAGACAAGTAGTCAATTTTCTATACATAACATTCCCATCCCAAAAGTTCTTTGATTAGACGAAACACAATAGAACTAATTGGTTGCTACTTCCACTCTACCAAATATTTTATAATTAGAACAGACGTCATGTAAAAGCGGACAGAAAATAGCCTATTAAGAAATTAAAAGGGCACATTCAAGCTAATAATTAGCGAAGGGGTCGGTGAGTATGAACTTCCAACAAGTAGCATATAATGCAGTTGCATCATTAATAGAAAACCGAAGATATGTAAAGGACATGAAGAAAGACTTACTTCCTCCTTGGAGAAGCATATATATTTTTGACTCGTAATGAAGTTGAGGGTGCTTCGTCTTGACAGATTCCTGATATTTGCGGTAATACGATGAGATGAACAGTTCCACTAAGTCGGAAAGCAATCAATTAAGTAAGATTTTAGATTTAGGAAGAGCAAAACAATAACCATCCGTAAATTCAATGCAGAATCAGGAGAGTAGTTGCTCCTTAACATTTTTTTTGAGAATGAGTTGCTCCTTAACATTTTAGTGCTATAAGTCCAGTAATATTAAAAAGACGAGCTAAATGTCATATCAATAATTCAATCAATCAACTACAGTTCAATCTCAAGTTACTTGGGGTCGACTATATGAATCATCTTTTCGGCCAAATGAGTATGAATCATCTGCATTTATTCCCCTATATTCCGGCTCATTTCGTTCCAGTACTACATAATTTATCTTAACGGATCTCTAAAACTAAAGGTTCTCTAACTTCCACACAAATCTCTACATAGACATAACACAACAACAAAGAAACAACTTAACGGTATGAACCAAACACTAATAAGCAAAAGCCATTACCAGCTTAATGGCAACTTCTTCTCCATTCTGTATATTCACACCTGAACCAATAAAGCAACAACAAACTGAAAAACATAAGAAACACAAAAACAATAGCTAAAATACTACACTAAGAACACAAAGAAAAATCAAAATTAAAATGGAGTTGACCATAAAATCAAAATCTACCAAGTGACATACACATACCTAAATAAAGCTCACCAAAAGAGCCACTACCAATCTTCCTCCCAAGCTTAAATTTACCACCCACAACATGATCCATGTTGATTCAAGATTCAACAACCCTACTTCAAAATTTTCACCACCAACAATTTTCAACAGCCAAAATAAAAAAATTAACTCAGATTTTCACCCCACTTAGATTAATCCCCCAAAAAACCAAGAAAATCCAAGAATCAATAACCCCATCAAATCAAGAATCCACTGTTAAAGTTCACAACTTTGAATTAAAAAACAAGAAAAGAAGGAATAAAAATCCTATCTTTACAAAGAAAGGCCTAAAAATTATTGATCAAGATTCAAGAAAATTATTTTCCAGCTACATCCTTAGATAAATAAAAATACCCATCATCTAAAAATACTCCAAAAGGGAATAAAAATCCTATCTTTATGAGCAAAATCACCCCATAGATTAAGAAAAATTAAATCTTTCTGCAAACCCAGATGTACAAACTAAAAATGTGTATTTGGGTTCTCTTTTTTTTTTCTGCCTTGTTTCTGTTTGACAGATGAATCAAAGAAGGGTCAAGAATTCTTAGCAATGGAGAAAATGAAAGAGAAAGGACAAAGGAGCTAAGATTGAGGAGAGAGAGAGAGAGAGAGAGAG